TAAATTTGCCAAGATTGCTTTGATTTTGAGAGTGGTGAAGTCCATCATACTAAGGTATCTTATATTTTCAATTTTTACTAGAAATGACTGGAAAGGTTTACATTTAAGATCAAGAACTTGCAGTTTTTTATTTTTGTTGTGTCTGATTTGGTGAGTTATAAGACTTTAGTCATGATCAGGAAAAGCGATGCAAATTGCAGAAAACTTATTCTGAAAAATAGGATTTTGGTCAGAATAGAAGCAGACACTGACAAGCTGTCAGGGCCAGTCTCTTTCGGCATCCAAAATGTTTTACAATACAGTTCAATGTGCTCCTGAGTCCCTGATAGAGTGATTTTTTTCTTTGTGCTCAAAGAATTGTCTAAAGTTTTCACTGCCTATCAAAGACCCAAGTTGAGAATGGAACGTTAAAGTGGAGGAACAGGGTACTGCAATTAGTAACTCCTTGAGCTGCCTGTGCGTAGGAGGAGGAGCAGGACAGGAAGGCGAAAGGGAGGATGGGGGGCAGACAGGGCAGATATGTCTGAGGTCCAGCTCCGCCTCCTGGAGAGGATTGGAGCTCGGCGGCCTGTCGTGCACCTTTGACTTCCTTTTCTCTTTGTTCAGTTATAAGTGTTTACCATCTGCCTTTCTTGTTTATACTTCTTTAATTAGATACTGAAATGTCACTATTTGCCTGCAGAAAAAATAGAAATACAAAGCAAACAACTACTATGCAAAATTCCCATAGTCCCATTGCTGAAGACAAATTCTCTTGCCTGTGAACTATCTGTACGGACCTTTTCTCTCCCCACAAGGTCATCCTGTGTCCTCGGACTAATTCATTCTGCTCTTCAAATTTCTGAGGAAAACTGTCAGTTCTTGGGAGCTCAGATAGGGAATGTTTTGGTATCATCATTCCCTGATGCCTGGAGCACTCATGTGTTTTACTTTAATACAATTTCCTTGGGTTGTGTTCTCAGTGAATTATTTGAGCAAATAATATGAACATTTTTAAGACTTTCATTACGTAATTAGAAATTACACCTAAAAGGGAAGTACCAATTTTTATTTCTACAAAGTAAAATGAGACTGGTTATATCTAGTTCCTAGAAGAGATCTTGAAAATAGTACATGCTCAATACATATTTATTGAGGAATTTATAAGTAAATGAACTAATGAGGCTACTACCTGTTTCACAACACTCTTCTTTGTGTGTTATCAGTAAACTTTTTTTCTCCAGATTTTAGATTATGTATTGTAGCCTTTCTGTATTTGTCACTTAACGCAGTGCTCTGCTCCTAAAATTTCCTGAACCACAACTATGTTTTCCCCTTTTTGTGTTTGTTCAGAACCGCTTTGAATTAATTTCCTATTGCTGCTGTAACAAGTCACCAGAAATGTAGTGGCTTAAAACAACACAAATTTATTCTCTGAAGTTCTGGAGGTCACGGTCTCACTGGCTATCATCAGGGTTTCTGCAGGGCCGCATTTGTCCTGGAGGTACTGGGGGAGAACCCGTTTCCTGGGGCTTTCCAGCTTCTAGAGGTCACCTGCCTTCGGCAGCTTGCATCGCCTTGCTCCGTCTTCAAAGCCAATAGCAGGGCATCTTCAGGTCTCTCCCTCACTCCAGCCCCAGCTTCTGCCCTGACATCTCTTTCTCTGACTCTCCTGTCTCCCTCTTTGCCTTGTGAGCACCCCAGCGATTACACTGGGCTCACCCCGATAATCCAGGATCATCCTTACTTTAATCACAACTATAGGGTTCCCTTTTTCATTTCAGGTAGCATATTCACAGGCCCTGAGATTAGGATGTGAACATCTTTGGGAACAGGGGGACATTAATCTCTCTACCACATACTTATTTCTCCTTTTTTTCATCTGTTCTGAAATTTAACTCATAATTCAAGATTTTTCTTGAGAACTATTTTCTAAAAGAAATACCTAATTCCCTTCAGTATTCTCACTGTGCTCCTATTAAATGTTACTGAGTTTCAGAGATAATTTTCATGTCTTTTTATGCATTCAAGTTATTTATATACATGTATCTCTTTGAAGGCAGAGGCTGTACTTATTTTATATACCTTGAACAACTAAATCACCTCAGATTTTTGCCTTGAGGTTATTATGTGTTAAAATGATATTTATCAAATTTCACTTAATTATTGGTTGTCTTAAATAAAAGGAGCTTGACATTTTTAGAAATTTGTTTATAGGATGGGAATGCATTTCAACTTACGTGTCTGAAATTGTGATGTCCTGTTGGCCATTATTTGAATTGATTTGTAAGATTGAATGTGGCAGGCAAATGGAGCCCATCCTCTACTAACTTTCTAAAAGTTGATTAATGAGGAGCAGGCTAGATTCCACTAATTATCAGAAGTGAGGATATCTTGCTTATTTAACTCTAAACACCAGTTTCACAGTGTATCACCATCAGACATGTAATGCATATAAACACATCCATGGCTCATGGTCCCCACATACAAATGCCTTGTATCTTGGAGTAAAAAGTTTTGTGATCCAAATACATAAATATGTAATTACTTATATTGCATAGATAGCTTGCTTTCAAGTTGGTATAATATGGCCAATTTTCTAATATGATCTTAGGAGTTAGTTATAGAACTTCTCATAATATCTTACTGTTTCTTTGAAAATAGCCACATTCCCCCATCCCCACCACTTCATATCTTACAGCTAGAGTGGCATAATTCTATGCCACTCTATTCTGAGTTGGATACTCAGAAGAGAATGGACTTAGCATTATTGAAGTCTGGCCAGTATAGGAAGATAGTTACTGGTTGAAATTAGATTTTGAGAGTGATGGTTACATGAGTGTATACAAATGTGAAAATTCATCAAGCTGGACACTAAGATTTGTGCATTTTATTGAACGTACTTCAATATACAAAAGTTAAGAGAAAATTAAAATAGATTTTGAAGTGTATAACTTTAAATGGGCACAATTGATATGAAGACATTTCTGTTGATAAAATTTTCTATTTTAAAACTCAGTCATTCAGCAACATTTTCCTGATTTTTTAAATTCACTTAATTCATAATAGTTACAAATTTGAAACCACAGCCAGCAGAAAGACTGCAGATGTCTGTAAGCTGGGACAGATGGATGCTCATTGCCTCTGAGATAAGGAAGACACAGATGACTAGTGTAAACTACTTGTTGCTTTATCATTCATTGTCTTCTCTGCTTTTCCCTCTGGAAGGTGAACTTTTGAGAATAGGGGCCAGACATTTACAATTTTTGTTTTCTCAATGCTTAACATACCCTGGGTTCTTAATAAATGCTTTGGGGAGTGAACTGACTCCCTCCTAGGACTTGATTTCCTAATGCATTACCCCAAATCAGTGGTCATATCCAGATGTGTTAAAAAGGCATTTTTTTCCTTTATGTATTCTATTCCATGTATCTCTAGGTCAAGCAGAGCCTATTAAGTTGGATGAGTAAATTGTTTATTCTTCTGTAGCATTTTTCATCTTGTTTTGACAATGCAGAGAAAAATAAAAAAGTCTTTATAAATGTGGATATGATGCACCTTACTGACTAGATTAATTTATTAAAAACTGATGTGACAGTATTTTTAGGCTAACTCCTTTTGTCCTGTTTAGTACTCTAATCTAAGCCTGTGGTGCTTCACTGGAATAACTTACATTTTTACTTTTCTCTGGATGAGGTTGAATCCAGGCAGGAATTCCTCCTAGTTTGTTTTCTTTTTTAAATGTTAGCATTTTCTCTTTATATATTATAATTGAATTATTTCTCTTGTTTTAAATTGAGAGTCCCAGAGATCCTTTTGAGATAATTGCCCAAGATAACATTTCTTTGTTTTGAGTCAACATGAGTTCAACCAAATTTAGAGTAGGATGAGATAAATCTTGGAATAAATCTTTTCATCATCTGAATTGTTTGCTAGTATTTAAAAACTCATTGGAGATTCTTATCCTGAGATTCTTGGAAGTCTTCTCAGAGTCCATAAAGCTTCTTAATATGCTAAATACGTGTGTGTGTGTATGTGTATGTATGTATATTCTTCCTGGGAGTGTGGTCATTGCTATCAGTCTTAATTGAGCTAGGGATTCTAAAAAGTCAAAATCTTTTCATATAGCATATAAATGCTGGTGTTGCGATTATCTAGTTCTTGGGGCGTAGTGTTTGTACAGTTGGGTGAATATACAAACCTGTTGTAGATGTACCATTTGTTGGCATGAATCCTCTAAAAGGAAAGGCCAGATCGAATAGAAGGGTGATCCCCTTGTGAATTCACCTCCTCGTACACCCCCAGCCCTGCTGCTTTCCATTCCGGCGACTTTTCTTTGACCCTTCCATTCTCATTCTGTGGCTCCTATTCCTAGGCCATGGCAAACACAGATGATCGTCAGGGCAGCAGTGCTGAGCTCTGCGCAGACCCGGGCTGCTGGCCTTTGTTAACTGGATCTGCATTTAAGTTTTGTTCCTTTTTGATGCTTGGCTGACAGTTTTCATGTTTGTTGTTTCTAATGCAGTGGGTCTTTGATCAGCATTCCGGCCTCCCTCGTTTGTTCCTGACCAGGCCATGGTGCACCGTTGACTTGATTATCCGACTCGTTAGGACTGTACTGACTGGGGCGGCAGGAGTCGGCATTGAGGGAAGGGGCGCCTGAATCTGGTCTCTGCTCCTTGATTCGTGTTCAGTTTCCCCTTCTTTTTGCTTTGAAACCGAGCTCTGGATTGGGCAAGGCTAGGCTATGATCCTGTGTAAGTGAAATGCATACAAGGAGCTCCAGGTCTCTTGGAATTGTCATGGATTCAGCTGTTTTAAGTAAGCGATTTCCTTCATCATGACTAAAGTTTTACTCTTCATACTTCAATTTAAAAAGATTTGGGAACACTTGCTAAAATGGCTGTAATAAAATGTAAGAAAAACAGCTTTAAAGTTTTAAATGTTCCGTTGCCCACCCCGACCCTCACTGGGTGAGTGTTTCGTCTGACTTAGCTGGTGCCATTTCTTTTGGTCATTAGGCGGCCCCCAACGATGAAGCTGTGGTGACACTGCTGTGTGAATGGGCTGTGAGCTGTAAACGGTCAGGCAAGCACAGGGCGATGGCTGTAGCAAAACTCTTGGAGAAGAGGCAAGCGGAAATTGAGGCAGAGGTAGGTTCAGTTTTTTTCTACCTGTTGAATGCCAGCATTAAAAAAATACTCTTTTGAGAAGGGTTCTTTTTTCTTACTCTCAGTATGCTAGTATTTTTTTTTTCTTCTGAAGGAAAAAGAGAGGATGTGTGAATTCACAAAAGTCTCCATAGTACAGTCCCTCTAAGCTGATGAAGCCAGTAACTTGTATTCTGGGCTAGTTTAAAAATTGCATCTTTTAGAGTAGAACTTGAGCATCTATTTTGGGAAATAAATCTCCCTTTATGAGGCTAAGCACACATACATATATATGCATATACATTTTGTGTTATACACACAGACACACACAAATGTATACAGTATATACCAAGTTTTATGAATTTTAAAGCTGCATAATATTTTAGTGTATCTGGAAATACTTGGAGCCAGTTGTGGTGATGATACTACAGATAAAATTTGTATTAGTTTTGAGACTGTTGTCTGGCCCCAGAGAAAGCAATTAGAGCCACAGAAGTAGATTGTAAGGGGAAAAAACACCTAGCTTGGTAAACATTAGCTTTTGTTGAAGGGAAGTTTTTTAAGTGAGCCTTCTTTCTGCCTGTACGATTAGCTGGGCCGGCTCTGGAGACAGCGCTTGTGTGGTCTGACCACATCCCCAACTCTCCCTGAACGACCGCAGGGCCTCCCACTCGTCTCCACCCTCCTCCACACAGCAGCCCAAGTGCTCTTTTCAAAATGGAAGCAGGTGTCCCATGTTGAAACTGATGGCTCCTTCTCCCCCAGGTCACACCTGCAGCCACCTTGGCCTCCCTGCCCCTCTATGCACCAAGCTCACTTTTATCCTGGGGCCTTTGCTCTTGCTGTTCTTCCCGGGGGGCACACTGCTCCCCTGTTTTTACTCTGCCATTCCTATTTAAGGAAGGGTCTTTTTCTAGCATTCCTACCTCAACATGTGTCACTCCTCAGGAAGATCTTCCAGCACTGCCCTCTCTATAGTTAATAGCACCCACCGCTCACACTCTCTTTTTCATATTGCTGTTTTACTTTCCTCATTGGATTGTTGTCTAATGCCTGCCTACCCTGCTCCAGAACATAAGCTCTACCATAGGAATCTTGCCTAGGCTGTTCAGTGTTGTGTCCTTGACACTCAGAAATGGTGTTGGTTGCATAGTAGATGCTCAGAAAATGTTGCATGATGGGTGAACACTTAGCTGGCTCTCTTGCTGGTAGTACACCTATTTCCTATGCAGCTGTTAAAAAATAGGAAGTATGTTTTCATGGACATCTCTCTTCTACCTTTGGGAAAGCACTGTTCACCAAATACAAAAGCTCACATAAAAATGAAAATCAGGGCTTGAAGATATTGATGTTAAGGTCTAAAACACATGGCCCATTTTGCAATGTGCAAATTAAGAAATGTGTTTCATTGATTTTTTCTATACATTTATGAATAGATTATTGTATAGTGGATTGCAATTATTAAACTCAGTAACTAAACTTGAATTTCTCAGATTTTATTATTGTGTCTACTCCTCCTCCATCCCACCCCATGTCACAGAATACACATAGGCACACACACACACACACACACACACACACACACACACACACTCACAATCGCTGTCAGAAGATATTCACACACAGATTACTTTGTAATTTTAATGGGTATAAATGTATCCATATCTAAAAATTTATTCTCTTAGAGATGTTTAAGATGAATGCTTTCTCTGAAGCATCATCATTTAAAAAACTTGACCTTTGTAAAGAGAAGGTTGAAGAAATAATGTCTTAATGTAACAATTAATATCTTAATATTAAAGAAAGATAATGAAAATGGGAAGGATCAAAGGGATATTAAAAAGAATAGAAAACAAGGTTCTAATTACTTCAAAACTACTTTTCTCGGCTTCCAGTAAGTTCTGTCTTCAAGAATGCAGAAGTTAAACAGCTTCTCTAGATGAGTTTCCAGAACTGGGAGATTGCAGGAGATTCTGAGAGATCCATGTGGTGAAGTGTGATGAGTGAAAGCATCTTATTAGAGGAATTAGGTTAGCTTTCTCATTCAACACCATGCTTCTCCAGACACACCTGTAAATACACCCACCTGACAAAAGAAAACTCAAAAGGGTACAAACTCAATAATGCCCAGATTTTTCTTAGAGGAACTACGGTTCAACAGGAGCTATTTAAAAATGAAGCCAACCTGAAATCATTTATAGCAGTTTTGCATAAAGATAATAGTTCATTGTATTATATGTATGTATTACATATATTCAATGTGTGATCATAGTATGCTGTGTAGTTTATAATTCACATGAATGAGGTTTTTCATAGGTGCTCTTTGAAATTATTTGAACTGTTCATGAGTAGTTCCTCCCAACTTTTAGAAATTATATTTACCTATGATGCATGGCCCTCAAGTACAGAAATCTCAACTTTGCATGTTTCATGTTTGTTGTTTCTAATGCAGTGGGTCTTTGATCAGCATTCCGGCCTCCCTCGTTTGTTCCTGACCAGGCCATGGTGCACCGTTGACTTGATTATCCGACTCGTTAGGACTGTACTGACTGGGGCGGCAGGAGTCGGCATTGAGGGAAGGGGCGCCTGAATCTGGTCTCTGCTCCTTGATTCGTGTTCAGTTTCCCCTTCTTTTTGCTTTGAAACCGAGCTCTGGATTGGGCAAGGCTAGGCTATGATCCTGTGTAAGTGAAATGCATACAAGGAGCTCCAGGTCTCTTGGAATTGTCATGGATTCAGCTGTTTTAAGTAAGCGATTTCCTTCATCATGACTAAAGTTTTACTCTTCATACTTCAATTTAAAAAGATTTGGGAACACTTGCTAAAATGGCTGTAATAAAATGTAAGAAAAACAGCTTTAAAGTTTTAAATGTTCCGTTGCCCACCCCGACCCTCACTGGGTGAGTGTTTCGTCTGACTTAGCTGGTGCCATTTCTTTTGGTCATTAGGCGGCCCCCAACGATGAAGCTGTGGTGACACTGCTGTGTGAATGGGCTGTGAGCTGTAAACGGTCAGGCAAGCACAGGGCGATGGCTGTAGCAAAACTCTTGGAGAAGAGGCAAGCGGAAATTGAGGCAGAGGTAGGTTCAGTTTTTTTCTACCTGTTGAATGCCAGCATTAAAAAAATACTCTTTTGAGAAGGGTTCTTTTTTCTTACTCTCAGTATGCTAGTATTTTTTTTTTCTTCTGAAGGAAAAAGAGAGGATGTGTGAATTCACAAAAGTCTCCATAGTACAGTCCCTCTAAGCTGATGAAGCCAGTAACTTGTATTCTGGGCTAGTTTAAAAATTGCATCTTTTAGAGTAGAACTTGAGCATCTATTTTGGGAAATAAATCTCCCTTTATGAGGCTAAGCACACATACATATATATGCATATACATTTTGTGTTATACACACAGACACACACAAATGTATACAGTATATACCAAGTTTTATGAATTTTAAAGCTGCATAATATTTTAGTGTATCTGGAAATACTTGGAGCCAGTTGTGGTGATGATACTACAGATAAAATTTGTATTAGTTTTGAGACTGTTGTCTGGCCCCAGAGAAAGCAATTAGAGCCACAGAAGTAGATTGTAAGGGGAAAAAACACCTAGCTTGGTAAACATTAGCTTTTGTTGAAGGGAAGTTTTTTAAGTGAGCCTTCTTTCTGCCTGTACGATTAGCTGGGCCGGCTCTGGAGACAGCGCTTGTGTGGTCTGACCACATCCCCAACTCTCCCTGAACGACCGCAGGGCCTCCCACTCGTCTCCACCCTCCTCCACACAGCAGCCCAAGTGCTCTTTTCAAAATGGAAGCAGGTGTCCCATGTTGAAACTGATGGCTCCTTCTCCCCCAGGTCACACCTGCAGCCACCTTGGCCTCCCTGCCCCTCTATGCACCAAGCTCACTTTTATCCTGGGGCCTTTGCTCTTGCTGTTCTTCCCGGGGGGCACACTGCTCCCCTGTTTTTACTCTGCCATTCCTATTTAAGGAAGGGTCTTTTTCTAGCATTCCTACCTCAACATGTGTCACTCCTCAGGAAGATCTTCCAGCACTGCCCTCTCTATAGTTAATAGCACCCACCGCTCACACTCTCTTTTTCATATTGCTGTTTTACTTTCCTCATTGGATTGTTGTCTAATGCCTGCCTACCCTGCTCCAGAACATAAGCTCTACCATAGGAATCTTGCCTAGGCTGTTCAGTGTTGTGTCCTTGACACTCAGAAATGGTGTTGGTTGCATAGTAGATGCTCAGAAAATGTTGCATGATGGGTGAACACTTAGCTGGCTCTCTTGCTGGTAGTACACCTATTTCCTATGCAGCTGTTAAAAAATAGGAAGTATGTTTTCATGGACATCTCTCTTCTACCTTTGGGAAAGCACTGTTCACCAAATACAAAAGCTCACATAAAAATGAAAATCAGGGCTTGAAGATATTGATGTTAAGGTCTAAAACACATGGCCCATTTTGCAATGTGCAAATTAAGAAATGTGTTTCATTGATTTTTTCTATACATTTATGAATAGATTATTGTATAGTGGATTGCAATTATTAAACTCAGTAACTAAACTTGAATTTCTCAGATTTTATTATTGTGTCTACTCCTCCTCCATCCCACCCCATGTCACAGAATACACATAGGCACACACACACACACACACACACACACACACACACACACACTCACAATCGCTGTCAGAAGATATTCACACACAGATTACTTTGTAATTTTAATGGGTATAAATGTATCCATATCTAAAAATTTATTCTCTTAGAGATGTTTAAGATGAATGCTTTCTCTGAAGCATCATCATTTAAAAAACTTGACCTTTGTAAAGAGAAGGTTGAAGAAATAATGTCTTAATGTAACAATTAATATCTTAATATTAAAGAAAGATAATGAAAATGGGAAGGATCAAAGGGATATTAAAAAGAATAGAAAACAAGGTTCTAATTACTTCAAAACTACTTTTCTCGGCTTCCAGTAAGTTCTGTCTTCAAGAATGCAGAAGTTAAACAGCTTCTCTAGATGAGTTTCCAGAACTGGGAGATTGCAGGAGATTCTGAGAGATCCATGTGGTGAAGTGTGATGAGTGAAAGCATCTTATTAGAGGAATTAGGTTAGCTTTCTCATTCAACACCATGCTTCTCCAGACACACCTGTAAATACACCCACCTGACAAAAGAAAACTCAAAAGGGTACAAACTCAATAATGCCCAGATTTTTCTTAGAGGAACTACGGTTCAACAGGAGCTATTTAAAAATGAAGCCAACCTGAAATCATTTATAGCAGTTTTGCATAAAGATAATAGTTCATTGTATTATATGTATGTATTACATATATTCAATGTGTGATCATAGTATGCTGTGTAGTTTATAATTCACATGAATGAGGTTTTTCATAGGTGCTCTTTGAAATTATTTGAACTGTTCATGAGTAGTTCCTCCCAACTTTTAGAAATTATATTTACCTATGATGCATGGCCCTCAAGTACAGAAATCTCAACTTTGCATGTTTTTTTCTGAGAACTTAAAAAAACTAACAGATTCATGATCCATTGTGACTATAATTGTCCTTTATAATTGTGCTTGTTTATTTTTAATCTTAGAGATGTGGTGAATCAGAGGTCTTAGATGAGAAAGAGTCCATTTCTTCAGCTTCTCTTGCTGGATCTAGTTTGCCTGTTTTCCAGAATGTTCTGCTAAGGTTTTTAGATACACAGGCTCCCTCATTGTGTAAGTAAAACTCTTTGTTTCTGGATTTTAAACAAAGGATTGACTCTTTCTGGGGTCTGATTCTTCTTTTTTTCTTTATTTGCATCTTATCAAAAGTTCTTGGCACTGAGTGTATTATTTTACTGAGCAAAATTTTATAGCATTTCAGTGTAGATATTTATGCAATTTTAAAATTAGGCAAACTTCAAAGACCTAAAAATTTTCAGTTAAAAAAAGAAAAAGTCACCTCATTCCCTTTTATTTGGTAGACTAGTTTTCCCTTTCTAGATCTTTGTTACCAAAATAGAAAAGCTAAGTTCCTGTGATGTTTCACTGTATACTGTGATTAAAAATTTTCTCTTTTCAAACTGTTTTCTCCATTAATGATTTTCTAGCTCCTGATGTTTAAAAACACGGAAAAAAAAATCAAAAGTACACAAGCCAGGTCCTTGATACAGGAAATAATTTGTACAGATGGTTATCTGCGTGTCTACATCCTCTTGGATACTTATGTCTTTTCATGTTCTTTTTCTGTCTTTTATTCTCTTGTTTGGTTGGCAAGTTGAGTGTTTTGGGAATAAACCACCACCAGTGGGTTCTTACTGTGGGTGGATGCTTAAAAAAATCATTTGTATGAGCTAAGTGGGCTTGATCTTATTCTGAGACTTTTCATATGACAAATCAGGGAAGGTCTTAGAATAGATAGTGATGAAACAACAGAAAAATGGCAAAAAGTGATAGAAAGGGGAGAAGAAGTCCAATGTGGGGGGGAGGGGAAGGGAGAGGAGTAGGAGGTAAAGCAGCAAGAAACAGTACTGCTGACGCACCTCACAAGCCCTCACTGCGGGTTGAATGGCACCTGGGAGTGAGATCCTTTTAGTTACTTGGTGGCTGCTCTAGGCTAGAGGGAGAGCAAGAGCTGGAGCCAGCTGGGGTTAGGAATATAGGCCTAATAATGAAGCATGGAAAAGGGTGCAGAAAACTGAAAGGACCAGAAGAGATGCCCAGTAGAGAAAATACATACATTGTCAGGAATGGAAGTTAGCAACTCTAACTTACATGTGTCCTGGGACAGGTACACATTTGTCCTTCGCTTCCCTTATCTTGTCCCCATTCCTGTTCTCCCCTTGGGAAAACTTCCTCCTCTCTGCCTTTGCTTGTTCTGGATCCCAAAACAAGCTGTTCTGTCAGAGGAAGCTGTTCTGTTTCTCTGTGTAGAGTTTGGAGGTTGAGTGAGAGCAAACATGTAGGCTTAATCCTTGCGGAACTGAGTTTCATGTTCCCTGGGTCCATCGGCTTGTCTCTGTTGCTGTCTGTGCATGCGATGGTATTGGGGATGAGCTTAGCAGGTGTAGTCTTACCATTTTTTAACCTTCTTTCAAAGGTACAAGTTTTACAGTGTAGTTACAATATTAAGTCTCACTGTGAGTTAAATAGATTGGCTATGAATTTTTAAAAAACTGCAGAGCTCCATCTTTGTGCCTTTTTTATTCCATTTTCCCTTTTTCTTTTCAGTAGATTCCACTGACTATATTTTTCAAATACCATTTGAATTGTGGTTCTGTTGTGAAGCCTCCTTTGAAAAGTTGTGCACACACACCCCACTCATACACCTCAAGGTGTACGAGACAATTCTGAGTTCTTTTAGTAGTAAAAGCAGAGGGAAGGAGTCCAGCTCTGCTTTTTCTTTTTCCTTACCTGAAGTTCTGTTTGTTTACAACATTACATAAATAGTTATTCATTTACCAGGGACCATTGTCTTTAAACTTGAAATTGTGCTTAGCACTGTAGATACTATATTTCAATTACAGTGGGACAGTCAAAACCTGTGTGCCAGTTCTGCACAAAATGGTAGTGCCTCACAGTAAATTTTCCAATAAATCTTTTGTTTTGTAAATACATAGATAGATAGATAAATAGATAGATAGATAGATAGATAGATAGATAGATAGATAGATAGATAGATAGATAGATACATATGTATAGATATATATAGTAGTGAAGTATTGCTAAGCCTTAGTAGTTGGTTGTTTTTTTTCTGCTGGATCATTGCTGGAGACTGAATTCTTGATTGAATTTGTTTCTTTTTAGCGGATCCAAACAGTGAATGTGAAAAGGTAGAATTTGTGAATCTGGTGCTGCTGTTCTGTGAGTTCATCCGACATGATGTCTTCTCTCATGATGCATATATGTGCACCCTCATATCTCGAGGAGACTTGTCAGTCACCGCCTCGACACGGCCACGGTCGCCAGCAGGAGAAAATGCAGATGAACACTATCCAAAGGACCTTGATGGGAAGATGGAGGTATGGCCCTGGGAGTGGTGCCACCACCCCCCCCCCCCCAGAAATGGAGCTCTGCTGAGGAAACCATTGTCAGGAGGATTATTTGCTATTTGAAGGGTGATAATCTTTCATTGTGTTCACTTGTTACAAAGCTCATTTATCTCTATTCCTCACTCACAAAAAACATTTGAATTGAAATTTATGTCTTCCAGAGTTGTCTTTTGGATACTCTAAAACTATTAATGGAAAAATTTCACAGTCCATAACATTTTTCACTGGATTGGAATTATATGTTTGCAGTTTTACATATTTCTAATCTCCAGTTTCCTTTTCCTATTGTGCCTCAAAATTGGACTTGTTTCGGTCCTAAAGTCTCAGCTGTTTTCATTCTAAGGAGCATCTTTGCCCCAATGTATCACCTATTACTTATATTACTCCTTCGTACATAATGGGAAATTCTGTTTTAGTCCTAAAACACATCTTGTTTTCCTATCAGTTAATTAAAAAGTTAATCTCTATTTGTCAAATGTTGCAGAATTATCCTTTTGAACAAATTATTTTATACTATGAGTATGACTTCATAATTTTCTGCCAATTTCTGATATTTTGGACATTGTTCCAGATACTTAGGGAAATTTTCAAGACAGAAAACATGAAGGTGATGATGGGAAACAGTAGAAAGTGGTGAGAGCGTGACAGTTCCTTGAAAATAAGGGCTCATACTGTTCTTGTGGGAGTTTAAGCATGTTCTGTTATGCTGTTTTTAAAACAGTGGCCATACTTATAATTTAAAAACCTGATATAGAATTGCCCATGCAGATTCATACTTTGTACTCAAGATTTGGTGACCAAATGATGTAGGATTTTTAAACTTATTTAATGTAAATACTTTTGTTTCTAAATTTGTGCACAGTAGAAGATATGAAGGACAAAAACTAAAGTGATGTTACCTGTTTGTGCTTTTTCCATGTTTCTGTTTTTTCTTTTCTCTTCTTGGATGTCAAGGTTCCTTACATCTTAGATATGCTCTTAGATTTTTCTTACAAAGAGAAGTTGGTGAGCATGTGATAGGAATTGCCCAGAGAGGGAAATTTTGGCCAGTTTTTTTTTTTTTAATCAGAAAGTTGCTATGCTCCTCCCTTAAAATATTCTGGAATTAACCCTTCCTCATCATGAGGACAAACACTGTGACTTTTCAAAGCAATACATGTCTTAAAACTTCCTTTTCTTTTTTTGGGGAAAAAAGATATTAAGGGGATAAAAGACATAGGATAGTTAAAATGTCACTGTCATGTTTTGGCTTCCATTTCTTAACTACAAAATTTACAATGTGACTTTCTTTCTCTGGCAATAACCAGGAACAAAATATGGCACATACGGGCATTGACTCAGGAACTACTAATATTTTTGATGAAGTAGACAAGAGTGACTTTAAAACTGACTTTGGTTCGGAATTTCCAGTAGGTTCAACCTTTGAATTCTTATTATTAACCCTTTCTACCCACCCCTACCCCAGCTTATCTCCATCTTTCTGCTCTTTGCCCTATGTATTAGAATGACTTGTGTACTCATGATGTAAATGTGATCTTACCATATTCTACCCTGGAGCACAACAAATCAGCTAGTGCAATTGTCTTATTTCACTTCATCCTCAGTTTTGGCTATTTTGCCACATTTGTAAATCATAACACTCCTGTCCTCCTAGTCGACTGTGATCCTTGTTCATTTTGACATCATCTTCTCTCAGGAATACATGAGTATAGTTTCATCATGACAGTCCATGTTGATTTGCTGTGTTATGTGTTCAGCTTCTAAATAATAGCTTTCCTGGCTGTGGGCTTGCACATTCTTTTATTTTCTGTCAGTGTGATTATAGTGTTTTTCCTCATGGATCTCAGTGTATAACTTTTTATAAAAAAATAAAAAACAGTGTCTAGGGTATAGACTAAAAACCTTTGTCAGTTACTCATTAGTTTTATTAGTTAATTATTTCTGTGTATGTGTTTTGAAGGAAATGTAGCCCCATGAGGAAAACATGTGCCCATGAGTCTGATTTTTGTCTCTCGTCCTCCAGCAAACACAGTTTCACACATTTCTTGCGTGTGTGTGGCTGTCATTTTCTCATCTTCCAAATGAGGGTTGATGTTGAGAGATTATCAATGATCTGAATGTGAGGGTTGGAAATTAACACAATTTATTTACGTATTTTGCTCAGGGGTTAAATGAGGAAAAGATACTATGCACGTGTCTTGTGTGTTGGGAGTTCTGGTGCAGAGCACAGCATTGGTTTTGTTCTTTCATTTACAATCTCCAACATTTGTTTTACATGACTCAGATTTTTTCTCCCATGACTGGAGAATCCTGTGAGAATGCCAACTCTGCTTTGCTTAGAAGACTGTCGATTAATGGTGAGAAGTTGCTGAAGAGAGAAAAACCGAGGGAGTTAATTTTTCCATCTAATTATGACCTCCTGCGACACCTGCAATATGCAACCCACTTCCCCATACCTCTGGTGAGTCACTGCTTCACTCTGTTGACACCCTGCTGGTGGCATTATAGGACCACCGATTATTCAGTTACCTGCCTGGGTAATACCTAGGACAGCAGGTAAGTTCACACTCGTTGGCTTCTTTTGTTAAAATTTTGTTCACGTAGCTTAGGGCCCGATGTAGATCAAATTTGTGATGTGATGTGATGCTGTTGGCTGGTAAGATTTAACAGAATTTTCTATATTAGCATCCTTTTATGAAGGACATTTGAGTCACTGTTAATGATGTGTGAATATGCTTTGCTACTTTAGTTTGAAACTTATTTACTGAATAGCTTTTATATGCACTGTATTGTGGGTAGGTACTTTTGGCATTATACAGATGAGTAAACATTTTGAGGCAGAGGAAAAATGAGTAAGGTAGGAGGGAGACAAATGTCTATAAAATGATGAACCCTAAAATAAGTATAATAATTGAGTAGGAGCCCACTGGAAGGTGAATCATTCGGCATTACTGGGTCTCTTCTGCTCCCAATAAACATTGGAGGTGAGAGAGCATCTGATTGAGAAGTTGGTTAAGGTTTCTTAGAAGAAGTTGTATATGAGATGGACTTTTTTGACTGTTGAATTTAAGAGCCAGATAGCACTGGGGAAATACTTGCCAGGAAATTTAGTGCTTGAGCCCTAATAAGTGATGTGCTCTGTTCTAAAGGGAAACAAGTAGTGTTTTGATACTAGGAATAAAAATTGGGCCCAAATCTGTATGAGTGTATGTGTATGTGTTTTGTTGTTTTAACTCCTTAGGTTCACTGTTTTTTTTCCCCTGAAATTAAAAGTATAATTTCAGTGAGTCTTTTTTTTTATACTATTAGTATTAGTAGTTTAACAAAAATGAAATTGTGAGGTATATATGTTATTTCATAGATATTTTTGAGGAGTTTTGATCTATAACCTGTCTATTTTCTTAAGTTGGTTTAGTTTTTTGGTTATTTTGGAACATCCTCTTAAATGACTTTCAAAATTACTATGCTCATGTTTTTTTAAATTACAATTAAGAACCTTTTTGTGGTTTTAATTTTTCTATATCTAGGGCTGTGTCAGAAGTTGCCTAAATTCTTTCTTGCTATCCCTGGCTGAATATATCAACATTTTTTAGTTGTTACCTGTTGGTGTCACTCATTTGCAATGTAATAGAGTAATTTCATAGTTTATTTAGGGCAACAGAAAGAGCAGTCTGATATTTTAGAGATACAGTGTGAAGAATTGATAGGTGGACTATCATGATGCCTGGGATTTGTTTTAAAATAGAGTCAAAAAGGGGTTTGGGGATATTACAGTCTGGAGTTTATTTAGCAATAACATACGAATGTTCATTTCCTAGTTTTGACAAATGTTTGTGATTGGTTGAGGGTTATGTGCTTCTGTCCTGGGTAAACAGAGCTTTGCAGGTCTCCCTCTTCCTTGTGTCTGCATGTCAGAGCAGGGCACTCAGAGCATGGGCTTCATTATTCTGCTGTTCACGTGATCCTTGGCTACACAGTTATTTCCATCATTTAGCATTTTAAAAACTATCTGCTTCCATAGAGGGAAGAGCATGAATGATTTCCAATGATTAAGTCTCATGATAAATTATGCCATAATTCAACTGTAATGCAATCATAAGAGAACTAGGAGATCGGTGTAGGATACCAGTTTTTCCTAGCCTTCCATCACCAGTTGCCCTAAGTCCCCCTTTATTGTGAGAGGAATTCAGTGTTGGTCATCAATAGGGGAAATTAAAGTATGTGCTACTATAACATTGACTTTAGGAATACTGTAGAGAGCCTGATTCTCTTCCTTAATGAAAGGGAAAATTTGAATAATCGATCATACATGAGAGAATATAAAAATATGATAAAAAAATTTTTTTTCCCCTGTCTGTCTTGAAGATGTGGTCCTAGTGAGTGAAGGCCAAGGAAAGAGGACTAGAGGGGACTTGACCAAAAGATTCATAAAAATAGTTTTTATATGTTCTTATATGAATAATGTTTAGTCTGCCTATCAGTAAAAACACATTGTTAGACTACCAACAAGCACAGGTTCTAGTGTGTGGCATTCTCCAACCTGTGGCACAGGTAAGTCATTTATACCCGATCTGTGGCAGGTAAGTGACGCTGATGGGGGTTCCTGTTGTTACCACTGGCTGGCTAGGATTTGTCCAGCTCTTACCGTGTTATAACTGCAGGAGGCACTTTGGTGTGTTTTCTCACTTTTCATTCTCTTCAAACTCATAGTATGTATTTGTGAAATTGTAGACAGGGGTTTTCTTGGGTTTAAGCTTCAGAAAATAAGATAGGAAGGTGACAAATGTCTAAAAATGACAAGCACTAAATGAGTAAAAGTAATGAGTAATAATGAGTAAAAGCTTGTTTTCCTCAACATAGAGCTAAAAATGAGTTTGGAATCAAACTTGTTTTGTTAGCTTCCAGGAACACTATTTTTTAATCATTGTAGCTAATGCAAATGTATTACCACTTGTTTTAATATGGGCTTTCCTACTGAAATGGAAAAAGAGACCCAAACCACAGAGTCTCATGTATGCTTATCTAAACTACAATCTTCTTTTCCTTAAATAAGTCTTTGATTTAATACCATCTATTGAATCTTTTCCATATTACTGGCAGTAGAGAGAATTTGGTCAAAGCATTGTGACCCTGAAAGCTAGAGTCATCCATGCTCTAAACTGCTGGCCCCACATGGGTCCAGCCTTATCTTCAGGATCTGAGCAGCACCATCAGCCCAGCACTGCTGCATTCCTAACAAGGCCGTGCTATGTGGAGGCAGGATGCCTATTTTAAGACTATTTGACTGGGCTCTTTTTCTATACCTTTAGTATGAGTTTCTAGTTCAGCAACAGTTTTAGCAGTTAGTATAATTTAACAACGCCCTTAAAAATGTTATAGGGTCTATTTCATAGTTCTACAAAATAAAAGTAAGAAATCACTGTATTTGTCATTACTGACAGCAAAAAGTCTTTTATTTATAACCTTTATAGGGAGGATGTAAGTATATATAGTACATTAAAAATTATCCATGTATAAACAAGCCTTTTTAGAAGTAAAACTTTAGTTACGTTATTTGGTTTAAGTTTTTAGTTTTAGTTTAGTTATGTTGGCAAACAATCAGATGTTAAAAATTGGAGTAGTGAGCTAAAAGCTCATCGTCTTTGAAGTGATGGATTAAAAACCAGGCACAGGTAGTTTCTTGTAAAATTGGCTGGCTTTTTTTTTTTTAAAGCTCATCTAAGTGACTGTGTTGCTGAAAGGCTTTCTTTCTGGCAACTTACATAGACATTATTTCGCATATTTCTCTCAAGTCAGTACAATGCACTGAAATGAATACCTCTGAGTCCATGTCAGAGAACTTCTTTGGATTTCAAAGGTATTGCAGTGTTTTGCATTGGTTCAACAAGTTGTTCTTTGCTGCATTTGGGTTAAGGAATATCAATAACCACAAACCTACTTGTAGTTTGTATTTACTGAGTATCTCAGAAAACCAGGCCACGCTTGGTAGCTGGCTGTATTTTTGCTCACTGAGGCTTTTTCCTCTCCCAGTAGTTTTCAACTTACTGTCCAGTAAGGCAAGAAGTGATAGCATGAAAAAATGATATTTTATGCATTGTTTTCGCAAGTTGATTTTTCTTGTACATTGGTCTCCCTATGGGAAACGAAAGTCTCAGTGACCTTTAAGCGGAATGCTTTTGAGAGATGATAGTACAGGATGGGATCGAAACACAGGTTCGAGACAGCCAGGAGCAGCGTGGCCTCTTTGACTTTGAAGAGTGAAATCCTGGTTGGACAGTCAGTTATGACCTCCGTCTGGCTGAGGGTGTATGGGATTCGGACAATGTGATAAGGAACAAAACATACGATGTAGCCTGTAGTCACTAAAAGTATGTTGATGAGAGCTCTTTTCACATTTGGATAATTTTCATTATCTTTGTTTCTATAAAGCTGTTGAATTACAAGACAGTTAGATATTAAAATGATGGCTGAGAAATTAAAAAATATAGCTACACATATGAAATTTGTCAGCAAATGCCAATTTCTTCCCAACTCTTTTTTGAATTCCATGCAACCCACACTTGGCTCTTCCTTCACGTCTTTGATAGGAATCACCATGTTTGGCACCATTATAAGAAGAACCATTAGCCACACGACAGTTGATAACATTTTGGCAAATCTGGATTCTTGTATTCGATAAATTTTGTAGCTGTATGTCAACTGAAGACAGCGATCAATGCTGACAAATGCCAAGAAGATAATTGATAGGTACATATTAATGTAGATGAGGCAGGCTGTTACTTGGCAGTGGAATATCCTCAGCTTCCAGGGGGCCACGCCCAAGTCCACAGCAATTTTCACTGGTAATGCCAGAGTGAGCAGGAAGTCAGCTGTAAGCAAATTAATTAAGTATATGCTCACACACCTGTGATTTGTGTTTTTCTGCATGAAAGCCCAGGCTGCAAAACAGCTTCCAATAATTCCAACAAGGAAAACTAAATAAAAAAAGTAAGTGAATGGCTCCAGATCTCTGTAAACTGGGCAGAAGACAGAACTGTTTGTCATCTTGATGGAAAGTAAGGACAACTGTCAAAAATTCAAAGAATCTATCAAAACAAAACAAGAAAAAGAGATGAGGGGGGTCAGTAATTAAAATTAGAAACCAACTTCTTTAAAAACATTTGCACTCACACTACTATAGTCATAGTCTTTCTGGTTCTTAGAATTTTGTTGGTGACCTTACTAGATTGTGTGGATTGGTGGGACTGTCTTAAATCATGAGGAAGCCTGGGTTTTCCAGAGTCTGATTTTGTGATTTTGGGAAATCCCACATAGGCTGCTTCTGGAAGGATATTTGTGACAACCTTTTGCATTCTGATAGATGTTTTTCTAACCAGATGAGTTGGAAGTTAGTTGGCAGAGGAGACTCATCAACTACAGTTCTGAGAACTGGAGAGAGGAATCGGGTTGTGGCTCAGCCTGAAGAGGTTTCAATGAGGCTTCTTGGATTTCTCACTGATTGATAGAACTCCTTATGCTGGAGGAACATAGGCTGAGGGAGGAGGTAAGAAGTGACAAAAAATTGTACTAAAATTGAAAAGATGTTACTTAAAAATAGCCCTTTATTGAGTAACCCAGTAGAATATTTTCAGTCAAAATTTTGTTTCATTTTTCTTGTTAGTGGAAAGAATTGAACAGTTAGAGTCTGGCCTCGATTTGATGTTTCTTACTTCCCTTTTCCTTGTTCCAGTTTCTTAATCCTATAGACCTGTGATGCCCAGTGTGGTCGGCTGTAGCTACATGTGTGACTTGAGCATTTGAAATGTGGCCAGTCCAAATTGACATGTGCTGTAAAAGCAAAATACACACTGGGTTTTAAAGATTCAGTTCAAAATATTATAAAATGTAGTACTAGTAAAATTGTACTGATAGTACCGTTAGTAAAATACTTCATTTTTTTACATTGAGCACATATTGAAATGACATTTTTGGTACATTAGGTTGAATATGTTATTAAGATTAATTTCCCCTGTTTCTTTCTGCTTTTTTAAATGCAGCTACTAGATGAAGTGTCTTTGTGGTTTGCATAATATTTCTGTTGGACAGTGCTCGTATAGATTTATCCATGCCTGATTTTGAAAAATTTGACCACGAATGTATTCTAAAGGCTTCTAGAATAAGGATGTATAATCCATCATTGGTTATAAAATTATCAAAAAAGGTTCTGTTATGTTAGTACCAAAACCTCATAACACTGGATTTTTTTTTCCCTTTCACAGTGGGTTTTGAGTCCGTCAGGCCCAGAAGAATAAGACATACCCTTAGAGCCATTGTAATCAACAGTGATGATGACAGACTGTTGTTTTGTTCCCTCCAAGCCAGGAACATTGGGTGGTTTATAAATGCAAGTTAAGCAAATTGGGCCTCACTCCCTTTGACCTGGGCCAGTCGGATCCACACTGTTAGGGCCGCAGGTGCTTCTCCGCATGCTGCTGCTCACTGTGCACCTTCCTCATGCTTAGTAAACCCCTTTCATTTGTTTTGATGACCAGATTTTGTTTTATTCTGTTTTAGCGGAAAAAACTGACACACAACTTTTAAAAAATAGCAAACAGTAGTATAGTGGCTAAGAAGGCCAAATAAGTCCACTTTCTAGACTCTCTGCCTTCTCTTTAACCTCCCTTTCAAAACAAAAAGAAAAACACCCCAAAACCTCTAAAGCTTTTCTGAATCTTAGTTCTCCTAATTACTTAATGGTCTGGTGTGCATCTTGTGTCCATCTTGGGATGAAACAGTTGGCAAGCAGAATGATAAGGCAGATATACATAAAACTTTCTAAATTAAGGTGTTATTTAAAGGGCTCATGTCTTTTTCCATTCCTTACCTGAGACAGGACTTTAAGACCATGAATGATGTCATTGTGCACTAAACTCTATGAAAATAATTAATCACTTACTTTGTGTCTGGCACTGTGCTAAGTCCTTTACATGTAATTTTTACCCTTTCATCATTCCCACTGGTGTTATCCCTGTTTTACAGCTGAGAAAACTGAGGTACAGTGAGTTGAAGTAGCACCCATGGTGGTAGAGCTGGTAAATCACAGAGCCAGGATTCTAACCCAAGCAGTCAGATCTCAGAAGCTATGTTCAAAACCACTCCAAAACTGTCCTGATAATAATACCTGTCATAATGATGATGGTGATGATGATGATTATTAGAGCAGCCAACTTTTACTAAGTGCTTACTATGTAGCAGGAATTTATGCTAAGCAATTTTCATATAAAAGAGCAAGAAGAAAATATTCATTCTTATTTTTTCTCCCTAAATATTAATAAAAGAAGCTTAGGTTTCTTATTTTGATGCTTCATTTTACAATATGTATATTTAAAAGCCAAGGTCTGTCCTTTCATTCCAAACCGCCTTTCAGAGTTGCCATGACCCAGTCCCTCCAGCCATCTTCACTGTCTTCACACCGCCTCTCAAGGTGGGTGGGGCCTCTGCTGTGAACTCTTGTGTGAATGAACTGCTTCTTCCTGCCTTTGTGGTTTGGGTTGTGATAAAATTTTAGGTCATAGAACTTTAAGGACAGAGGAAACCTTTATTGATAGCATCTAGCTAATCCCAGATCAGTTGGGGAAACTGTGGTCTGGCATTAGGGGTTCTTTGGGTTCACAGCTTCTTAGAGCAGACTAGGATCTGACCTTTTTGGGCATTTTCTAGACTCTCTGCCTTTATCCTTCTTATGCTCACATCCTGTCTATCCTAAATACCTGGAGTAAATCTACTCCACTGACTTTCTTATGACGGATTTATGATAGTAACTATATATGTACCTTGGCATCCTGAAAGTCCTTTTCTTCTGTGGGTCAAAAGCTAATGTTGGTGTAATTTACTCCTTGTCCCCCACTTATGCTCATTGTTCCTTTACAAGGTTCTAGGATTTTGGCTTATGCTCTTGTATTCCAAATGTTACATAATAATAGTAATATAATAGTCTGTTTCTTTCAGTGCCCCTATTGCTCATACAATTAAACAATAGAGTCTCCTTTTATATATAAATATATGGTAAAGAGAAGGATTAGAGAATGATTTGTTTTGACCAATTAGTATTCTCTGTAACTAGAACTGACCAGGTGTACCACCAATAGGGTAATTTACTTAAAAATGATTAGAGTGTAACTATTTATTTGATAATGTTTGAGAATCATGTAGTGCCCGGCATTTGCAAGGCAGTCTACGTTGCATGGAAATAAACGTCATGAACCTTAGTCTAGATTACAGTGAAAAACACATCTTTCCATTTAAAATTTTTTATTATGTTGAGTAGAGGTTAAATTATGGTATAATAATATTCTGTGTTCTCTATCACAAATTTGAAAACCAAATGCTTGATAAACATTTTGTCAACCAATTATTATTAGCCTGTGGAAACTCCAGCAAAATCAAGAAAATATTTCAAGTGTCCTTTGCTTAGAAAATAATCAGATTTTTTATGGAAATCACAATAGCATTTTCTTGAAATTACCTATTGTAAGTTTATAGGGGAAGGTAATTTTAAGACCTTTTGTCCTTATCAGGAGACCTATAATATGACCTTTATCCATCCAGTGATAAAATTGAGTTACTGAATAGGTACGCTCCACTAAAAGTAAGAATTCAGTCTCATGTGAATTAAGCTTTTTGAGAGAGATGAATGGGGTCATCAGATAAAAGAAAATTATAGTGTTCACCGTGAGCACCTCTTTTGAGTTAATAATTGGTGCCCTTACACAGCAACCTTATTACATGTTGACATTTCAAACTTAACATATTTTAAACACTCATAATTATAGATTTCCCGTCCATGGCAAGACGTTTAAATATGTTGAGTATTTGAAAAGACATACCTGGGGGTATATTCTCTGAGCCTCAGTAGGCTGGGTCTCACTCCTGGGTCTTCAGAGGAAGCAAGAGCTGTTTGCTTAACCACAGCAATCGCTCCATTGCAGGACTGTTGGCTGTACTAAACATTTCCTTTTCTTTTTGTGTGGTTTTAAAATGTTGCATATTGACGTAGATGGAACTGTGGTTTGCAGATAGTTTTAACTGTATGAAAGTCTCCTAAAGAGGTTCTTTTCAATTTTGTGTATGCGTTCTGAAGCAATTCAGATTTGTCTGATCTTTTAGAGAAAAGAGTTGTATTTGTCCACACTTTTTAAAAAGCACCCTAGATGTGTTTTGCGTCATAATGAGTTTGAAGAGCATCAGTTTTTGTGCCCCAAAAGAGCTTATGAGTTGAAGATACTAGCTGTTGAAGGACAATCTCTCTAGTATACATATTGATAGTCATCAGCCTTTCAAAGTTATAATTTAAAAAATTGTTGTAGTTTGTATCCTGCTGAGACAGCCTTTAAAATAAACAAAGGTGTGATTTAACATAGTCTGGTAAGGTATATGTTTTATTTATCTTTTTTCTCTTTAGTTCATTTA